CCCTCTGTTCCTACAACTCTGGGACTGCATTTTCCAATAAATGTTTTTTGATGGTCTTCTTTCGATTTGAAATGCCACTGGCTAGAAAAAGTAACCTTTACTATTGCTTATCTCTGGCATTTGTTTCAAGAATTTGGCTTTGCTGTTTCCCTGTTCCTTCATTCCTTTGTGGGTCTCTATTTTTAGCCTGCCTACCATGTCTACATGAAATTTAATGAGTTTTTCATTGGTTTTATTTTGTCCTTTTCCAGGTGTGCTAATAATTATTGAAGTCTATACAGGGGAAACAAGGGAACCAGAAAGATGTTGTGTTTCAGTTAACAAGCTCATGTTTAAGCTGACTCCCAGTAGCTGAGGCTACCAGGCATCCTTCTGTCTAAGAGTGTGACCCAGTGATGGATCTCCTGAGAAGGAACTTTAATTAATTAATTAAGTTTTGGCTGTGTTGGGTCTTCGTTGCTGCGCCTGGGCTTTCTCTAGTTGCGGCGAGCGGGGGCTTCTCTTGTTGTGGAGCATGGGCTCTACGCGTGCGGGCTTCAGTAGTTGTGGCTCGTGGGCTCTAGAGCGCAGGCCCAGTAGTTGTGGTGCATGGGCTTCGTTGCTCTGCGGCCTGTGGGATCTTCCTGGACCAGGGCTCGAACCCGTGTCCCCTGCATTGGCAGGCGGATTCTTAGCCATGGCTCCCCCAGGAAAGTCCTCCTGAGCAAGAGCTTTAAGATGGCAGAATTGGCGCCTGCTGCCCTCAGACTCCTAGTTGCTGTTGGCCGTCTAACTTCCCTTTGTGATCATGGTGGACAGCTCTCATAGCACAGAAAAGCTGGTGACAAGTGTTTAACATTTTGCCAAGAAACTAAGATAAAACACAATCACATACTTAGAAGTTTTATAAAAAGGGGTGGTCGTTGCAGGGTATAGCAACTCACGTCAGATCCATGGGACTGTGGGTGTTTTGGCTGGCATAGTATCAGGGTCTCGTGTATCCTCAGTTCATTTTACTGCCTAACTGTCTTTCGTTCTCTGATGGACCTGAATGTAGTCTTTCTGGTTTTCAGGTTTGTATGAGTCTAGCTCGTACAGGAAAGGAAAACCACACGGTACTTTGAACAGGGAAAGTTTAATGTGAAGAATTGTTAGCTGTAATGGGATTGGCTAGTAAGTAAAGAGAGCCCTAAAGAATATAGAAACGGTATGAGGAGCAGCCACTACTCCTGGGGCTGGGATTGAGCGCTCCAGGAAGAGGCCCGCCTGGCGCTGAGATCCAGGCCTTGTTGGGAGGGTGTCTGGCTCATTGGATGGCAGAGAAGTTGCTCTGGTGCCTTCTTGATGGAATTTTCTAGAAATCTGCTCTCTGGGGTATGAGGCAAAAATGCTAGAGAGGTGTTTCACCAGAGGCTGCCTTCCGCAAAGTGGCTAGGGCAGCCGCTGAGGGAGCCAGGTGCCGGGAACCCTCTTGCTCTGTGGGAGCCCGCCGAGACATGGCTGGGCTGTCCAAGGTCAGGAGCCCGCAGGAGGAGTGAGGTGGAAAGCCCGGGCGAGGGACTGAGAGGGACAGGAGGAGGGGCAGAGTAAGGGGGTGAAGACTTGTTCGTGGGACCTGTTCAGTCTGGGAAGAAAGTGGTACTGGCGGGTGTTAGCAAATTGTGGCCCGTGGGTTAAACTGGGCCTGCTGTCTGTTTTTGTGTAGCCTGAAAACTAAGAAGGGTGTTTACATTTTCAGATGGTTGGAAAAATACTAAGAGTACTGTTTCATGATGTGAAAATTCTATGTAATTCAGGTTTCAGGGGTCCATAAATAAAATTTCTGGGACATAGCCACACTATTTGATTTATAAGTTGTTTGTAGCTGCCTTTGCTCTGGAAGCACACAGTTCAGAAGTTGTGATGGAAACTGTGGCTTGCAAATCCTAAAATACTTGCTCTCTGACCTTTTATAGAAAAAGTTAGCTCAAGGACTGGGGACACTGAAGGTTAAGTGTAGTGGTAGAAGGGTCAGCAAATTAGATGCAAGATGTGCCTGGAGAATGAAATAAGGATTCCCAGGGGCAGTGGGTGGGCAGGTCCTCAGACATGAGACAGTTGCTGTTGTTGGAGTTGTGGTGCTTGTTGAAGGTGCCCAGGATGATGGTGAGAGCTGGCGGCAGAGAACCTGCAGCTGAGGCGCCAGAGTCCCCACTGACACTGGGGGAGTGGACACCTCAGGGTCCTCAGTGTGTGGATGGGGAGATCAGTGTGCACAGATAGGAGAGTGGAGTGGGAGGTAGAAATGCACAACGTCTTCCGCACCTTTTCCAACAAGAGTGAAAAGCAGTCGCTGTCAATCTTCTAGGCCTTCTTAAACACGGAAGACTATGTATGTATATGTGTTTTCTCTAGCTTCTTATTTTTATATGTGTGTGTGTATATATACATGTATATGTGTACACACACACATATATATTTTATATGTATATATTTTAAACGCGTATCATGAGTTCACATTGATTCCTCCAGTTCCATCCAGCTCACGAGATATATCCTCGCAGTCTTGCCCCGATCTTTCCATGCTTTGGTTTCCCTCAGAAACACCGTAGGGTTTTTGAGATCTCATTGACAATTGGCACCTAACATCCACAGTATTTTATGTGTCTTTATTATATTTTATTGCTAGATTTCTATACATATGATGAATGTTTCTTGAAATGGAAACATGTTCTTTTGTGAGAGGACTAAGTAGGTCTGTATTAAATCATAAAAACAGCTGTTGAGCACATGGTGTGTGTTATGGAATGTCACAGGCAGTTTACGTAGATTATCCCATATATTTCTCACTAATCCTGAGGTAGTTATTATTATTAATATTGGGTTTACCATGTAGTAGCTGAGGCCTAGAGAGATGGATTATGTGTCCTGAGGCCGCATAGCTGGGAAGCTGTACAATTAGGTTCCGACGCAGAACCCGCACAGTATCCTATGAGCCTTTATTTAAGTATAATTTTTATTTTAAAAGAGCACTTTCTGTTAGAATATGATTCATAATGAACATACAACTTGATGTGAAGTTATGATTTGATATACTAGTACTCATTCTACAAATGATCATTCTACAAATGATCCTTGTAAGGGTAGCAAAGAGTAAAGTGAAATTAAGTTATATTCCTGTTGATGTGGCTCCTGTTGATTTCTGACCAGAATTTCACATTGCGGAGGGTTGTGGCTCAGCACCGTAACCTCTGTGCCTATCAGAGTTCCTGAGACTAGGTTATCAGTTTTTGTTTATTAAATGAGGAAATCATCAAGTAAAGTCTTTTTGTGCAAAACACTTAAAAATTAAAATATCCAAATGTAAGGTAATACTATTTGCTTTGAGTAACTTTTTGTTGAGGGAACGTGTAGTGTTTTAAATACGCTGTTAATAAACATGATTTTACTCACCCATTTTGACTACTGTTTATAGTTTGAAGACCGGTCTAATTTCATTTTAAAATGAAACGGTTTCTTACATTACTAGAGATCTTTAGTTCTGTAAATTCATTTTAGCCAAGTTAAAAGTAAATTTTAAACATTTTTTCTGAAAATATGCTAACTATTTAAGAGACTGATTTCCTTGAGCAGAGACTGTCTGTGTGCACTGAAGCCATCCTTTGACATCCTTTCCTCAGTGTGCCTGTGTCGTGCTCATCTTGCCGGATTCGTGGTGAAGAAGTGTTCAGTGCAGGCTGGAGAGAGGTACTGAACTATAGTTGTAAAAGCTTTTGCAAGCATTTTGATTGCTTAGTTTGGACAGTTTTCTGAAAATGAGATTTATTAACTAAAGGAACCATGGATGACAAATGAATCATTTGAACTTAAAAGGTGAAGCTCTTAGCACTCACTTCAGAGCCCATGTAGCATTGTTATGATTGTCTTAGGACGACAGTTCATTTCTCAGAACTTCTTAAACTTTCTCTGGGTTGTGAGTAAAAATAAGGATAGAAATATTTGTCCCCATAAATGAAATGAAGCTATAGTATCAATGTGGTGTGTGTGTGTGTTTGCATTTCTCAAGGGTCTCAGACCTGCATTTCTAGTCATTTTATTTCTGATAATGTGAATATTAGTAGTAGTCCATGACATAAGATCTATGAATAAGGCTGAAATATCTCTGTATTTAGGAAATCTAGAACAATTTACTCTTTCTCAGTTGGTTTTCTTCATTCATATGGTACAGGTAATACCACCTGTTTTGAAATACCCTAAGGTAATTAGGATATTATGTGAGTTGGTACTGAAATATAACAAGGTGTTTTTGTTTTATGCAGCTTTTACTAGTGTCTGTCTATAGATAAAGTGGCCATCATGGACTTCAGAAAGATGCCATTTTATAGAACTACCATACGACCTAGCAATTCCACTACCGGGCATTTACCCTGAGAAAACCATAATTCAAAGAGTCATGTACCACGATGTTCATTGCAGCTCTGTTTACAATAGCCAGGACGTGGAAGCAACCTAAGTGTCCATCGACAGATGAATGGATAAAGAAGATGTGGCACATACATACAATGGAATATTACTCAGCCATAAAAAGGAATGAAATTGAATTATTTGTAGTGAGGTGGATGGACCTAGAGTCTGTCATACAGAGTGAAGTAAGTCAGAAATAGAAAAACAAATACTGTATGCTAACACATATATATGGAATCTAAGGAGGAAGAAGAAAAAAAAAAAAGGTCATGAAGAACCTAGGGGCAAGACAGGAATAAAGACACAGACCTACTAGAGAACGGACTTGAGGATATGGGGAGGGGGAAGGGTAAGCTGTGACAAAGTGAGAGAGTGCCATGGACATATATACATTACCAAATGTAAAATAGGTAGCTAGTGGGAAGCAGCCGCATAGCACAGGGAGATCAGCTCAGTGCTTTGTGACCACCTAGAGGGGTGGGATAGGGAGGGAGGGAGGGAGACGCAAGAGGGAGAGGATATGGGGATAGATGTATACGTATAGCTGATTCACTTTGTTATACAGCAGCAACTAACACACCATTGTAGAGCAATTATACTCCATTAAAGATGTTAAAAAAAAAGATGCCATTTTATAATACTGGAAAACGGTAGTTAACCTACTTACATTCTTTATCTTTGCTTAATAAAGCGCTTACTTAGACTTTTTGAAAGTTTTTAAAGGTGCCATCAAAATAATTTGATGTAATGACTGTGTCCCAGTTGAAAAAACGAAAACCAGAAAAGATAACCACTTGCTTAGAATCATACTGTGTGACAAGGCCAGTCTTTGCATTACACAGTACGTTAATATATAGAAAGAACATGTTTGGCGTGAGCTCAGCTTCGGGTTTATTTTATAACGACGTGTTGGAACAAATTAGTGGAAGGGAGCAGACACAGACCATCTGAGCTGATAGTAGCTTCCAGGCCATGGAGCTCTGCTTCGGAGTATTCTTGTATTTTTATTTGAATGTTGTCCTGTGTGACTGCATAATTTTTCAAATAAGCCCCACTTTGAAAGCGTGACCCAAGAGGAGCTGAAAATACGTATGCTTTTCTCTCATGCTTCCCCATCGATCTCATTACGTCCTAAGAAAATTGTCACTTAACGGACTGAAAGCGGACAGCACAGCTGCCATTTCAGTATTCTGGTTCAGACTTTTCCCGAGTTAGAGGAGGCAAACAACTTGCAGGCTGTGGCTCCTATGAGGATTGTTTTTAAGTGTTAAGGATTGTAGTATAGCACTTCTTAATACTCCTTGAAAAATGGAAAGATGTCAAGTAAATATCCTCAAACCTGATGAGGTTCTTCCCCGAGGATTGGTTTTGTTAGGTCACAGACACACGTGTGTAGTGAGGGTGTTTGTGGTCTGCGATTAGGGCTGTGCTCAGTGACCATGGGCTTGCGTGGCAGTGGTAGAGGTTTGACAAGGCCGTAGATTCAGATCTTTGAGTAAGAGGAGAGGAGAGACTTCTGGAGCTATATGAAGTTCTGTAATTTTCAAAATAGAAAAAAAATTCAGATTGAGTTGCTTCATATCTCTTCTTTTAAAAAAATGTGTATTTCTTTATCCCCTCATGTCCTGTACCTTGAACTCTTCAGCGAGCCACCACCTACTGCTTCTGTGTCCATCTGTGAGTTCATGCCGTTGTCCACTGTCCCAGGTGGGGAGGAGGGGAGAATTAGAAGAATGAGGGGCACTGTGGGGAAAGGCAGCAGGGGCAGCTCTGGAGTCGTGGGGCTGAGAAGGTAACTGAGAAGTCCGCACCTGTGAATATAGGCATCTTAGCACTTGCTGAATGTCAGAGTATCTAGTGTGGATGCTTGAACAGTGGCTTATCAGTTTGCCTTTCTTCCTGGCGCTCCAGCTTCAGGGTTCACACTCTCTCTCTAGAATCGTGTCTCACGGAGGCCACTCGCTAGGTGATAACTGCGCCAGATTCCAGAACTGGTGCTTCTTTGTGTTCCCTCTTTGGTCTTCTAGATTGAAAAATGAAAGTTTGGAATGTGCATTGTGTCATAGAAGTGAAAGAAAATGAAGTATTTACTGGATTTGTGTATTATTAGGAGCTTTATATGTAGCGTACTCTTTACTCTTCACAAATTGATGATGTGATTATTATTTTTCCCATTTTATAGATAGGGAAACTGAAGATCACAGTTTGCCTGAGGCTGTACAGTCATTAAATGACATCAGATGCTTAATTTCCCTCAAATCCAGGGGTCCCCAACCCCCGGGCTGCGGACCCGTTAGGAGGCGGGCCGCACAGCAGGAGGTGAGAGGCGGGTAACCGAGCCAGGCTTCGTCTGCCGCTGCCCACCGCTCGCGCCCCCGCCCCCGTCCATGGAAAAATTGTCTTCCACTAAACTGGTCCCTGGTGCCCAAAAGGTTGGGGACCGCTGTTCTAATCCATTCTTTCTTTGGAACCAAGAGTACAAAAGGGAGGAAAAAAAGGAAATGAGAGGTTGAGGAGAGGGAAGGAGATCTGAACTGAACATCTTTTCAGCTAAGAGAATGAAAGGTTCTTCGGAGTGAGAGGTCAGGAGCCTCTGGGTCAGCTGTTGTGTTTCAGGAGGGTCCATGGCTTGACAGACCGGATTTGCGTTGTGGCTCACCCCTGCCGGCTGTGAGCTTGTCTCGTGGTCTTTGAACTTTGTTCTTGTCAGTAAGATGAGGTTAGTGCTTCTTCGTAGGGATGCTGAAGAAACAGACTCCAGTGCCTGGTAGGTAGAGGTACACAGGGAATTGCATGTGTGTGTTATTAGTGGTAAAACAAGGGCAAGCTTTGCATTATCCTTGGACGTGGAGTTAATCAGATGCTCTCAGCAGCTTTTGGCATGGAGTAGCGAACCTTGGCTCACCCTAGTTTTTCTTTTTCTTCCTTTCATAAGTCTCTATGTTTCCTCGTGTTTGTCTGTCATCATTGAGAAAGGTTCCCGTGCGGTTCTCTCTGTACTCAGAGCGGCCTTGGTCCACGACTCCCATGGCAAGATCCTTGAAGGCTTGAGGAAGAAAGAGCCTATGTTCGTGCCCTCCAGTAGTGTGTTCTCCTTTGTTTGGGTCACCAGTCTCCTTCCCCCAAAGCTGGGTGGGCTGCGTCCCCACCTGCGGGGACAGGAGCACAAGGAGTGACTGCTGGCCACCAGTGCCAGGAAGGCAGGGGAGGGGTCAGCCTTCCGCCTGTTCTCTTCCCGCCCCGTGGCGTCTGTCTGCCACCGGCTTGCTTCCTGCCTCCTTTGACTTGGCTTTAACCTTCCATAAAACATCCCTGAGCTGCCTGAAAGACACCATGATGTTGAATGGAGCTGCCAGTAGTTCTTTCCCACTGCCAGGTACATAAAGTCACAGACCTAATTTTGAAAGCATAGGGCAAGCAGCTTTTGGAGCACTTGGAAATCATGTCAGGTGAGCTTATGTGAATGTGCCCTTTGCTCCTCCACCCTCAGGAGTGAAAACTGTTCTTAGGAGTAAGTGCCACAGCTTCCTTCTGGGACATAACTGCTTAAGCTGTTCAGTCCTTTATTCTGACACTTTGTCCTATTCTACCTTTACCCTTTCTTCTTTTTCTCAGAATCCTTATTTTGCTTTTATTGTTTAATGCAGGACTTGAACACCCCTAAATTTTTTTTTTCTTCTATGTTACAGACAATGGCAGGAGTGGGGCAGAAAAAAATTGTGATTGAAGTAACAGAAATGCTGAGGCACAGACGCTCATTTCTAGATAACTAAAACTCAGTTGTATTCAATGCAGGTTTAACTGATGCCAAAATAGCAGAGAAATCAGAGCCTTGGGGTACCTTAGGAATCAGAGAATTAGCCTCTTCACAGGTGAGGAAGTGATGTTCTGGAGGGTTGCCCAGAGCCATTCAGCAAAGTTATCAATGGGATCAAGGCTAGACCTTGGTCTCTTGACTTGTGTTTGGCACTTTTCCATGATAGAGATGGAATTATCTCAGCATTAACAACTGGCAAACACATTCCATGACCTAATGCTGTAATGGCTTTTTTAATACTGTTTGCTTTACTCATAAAAAAGGAACTGTATTTCAAGTTAGGAGATTATTATTGTTTGCCTTACTCATAAAAAATGAACTGAATTTCACGTTAGGAGATGATTGTTGAATTATCAAAATATTCACTACAGATTTAACTTGCGAACTCCTCATATGTACATTGATTATAATCAGTTTAAAATCTCATGGTCCAGTAGTCAGGGGATTGGTTACTTGGTGCATCTGTCTGATGGAATATCACGCCCCTGGATTTTGGAAGAATTTTTGATGGCATGAATAAATGCTTAAGACATTAACTGAATGTCTGAAATAATATATACAGTTTAATACCAACATTGTGTTAAAAAAATATTGATGCTTAGAAAGTAAATAATAACAGTGACTCTTCAAAGGTTAGGCTTATCAATAATTTTTATTTTACTTGGTTTTCAGGTTTTCTGCAAATGCATATACTACTTTTATAATCAAATCAATGAATATTATAAAATGTAATTTATAATTATACGTACAATTTATATGTACTATGTGATTCATTTTTCACTCAGTTTTTCAGAACAATGTATATGATAAAATGACATCTTTGAAGCTCTGTAGTGTAAATTATTTATATTATGATCTCTTTTTTTCCGTGGTTTTTCTGCTGTAGACTTATTTTATTTGTTAAATGTATTTTTATTCCTTAGGAAACTATTCTCCATGTGTCTTTATTGTACTTCTTCTGGTCTAAATAAATATATATAGCTGTCTTCATTTTTACCTTGTCAGTTTTGTTCAAATAATGCAGATACGCAGTTTAGAAAGTTAAGTGATACTACGAGCCTTGCAGACAAAGCATAGCAGTTCCTGGCTTCACCTGTCCCCCCCCAGGAGGCTCACACTCCAGAGGGAACTTAAAAAGATAGCTTTTACGTCCTGCTACAGATGAAGGGTTAACTCCCATACCCCCTTTACCTCCCTCTCATCCTCCCAGTGTGGTTAAATGACTATTCAAGTTAAATCAGCAATCATGTTTTCTGTTATGACTATGTAAATATTGCCTTCCACAGACCAAATAATGTATTCCAATTCTAACAGTCCCTTTCTTTTACGGTTTTGGTTTTCCCTTAACATCCTGTTTGAGTCATTCAGTGCGCTGCTCATTGTCTGAAATCCTTCCCTGGCTTGCCCCGTCTGCAGGAGGAGGTCCAGGCTCCATGTGCTGTGGCCTGCGAGTTTGCCAGGCCCCTTGGTCCTTCTGGCCTCAGGAGCACTGCTTTCTGTCCCCGGGCTCACCTCTGCGGTGCTATTTGCAGTGTTTGAGCGGGTGTATTGCCCCTGTCCCTTCTACATCCCGAAATGCCTTTACTGCTTTCTGCTGTCTCTGCTTCCCAGGCCTTCTTTAGGCAACTCGTGCGGTCCTTCCATCCCCTCCCCTCCCCCCACTGTGTCTGGGCTGGGTGCCCCCTAACACCTTGTGCAACTGCTGTGCCCTGTTCATCTGAGTTTGTAATCGTTTATGCCAGCTGCTTGCCACATGTGCTCTGGGGTCCTTGAGGTCTCCTAGGATCTTTTCAAGGGTCTGAGAGGTCAAGTACTGGGTTTTTCTACTATAACATCTGAAAACACCTAATGTTTTGCAAAACAGCAGGGCTTGTGGGAAAAATAGCGTTGGGGCACGCCACTCAAAGCCTGTGCAGCCAGCTTACCAGCAGAAACAATACCAATCCCAAGAAAATTTCTGGGACAGCTAAACCCCTACTGGGGTTTGCAGCTGGCATCACAGCCAGTCAGTCCTTCACAGCCTTAAACCCTAGGGTTCATCGTCCTCCTTTGACATTCAGGCCCTGGAAGACCATTTGCTTATGGGTTATCATTTTATTTGCATATAGATGTCATTTTTATTAAAATTAAAAAATCTGAACCTGGGTATAGGCTTCATTAGTCTGTTGTTTTAATTCAGGGAAAACGTCATACCATTTTTACATCTGCATCCACAGTCCCCCAGATCACTTGAAGACACTGTACCATCATCTAATTGTCTTACATAGGAAGGTACTCTATTCTAAGCTTTTCGCTTAAAGTCTTTATGAGCTGCTACGGTATGCCTTTAGTGTGTGGAAGCTTGTGCCTTCCTGTCACTTCAGAACACGAACATGTATTGTAAACCACCACACCTTCATTATCTCCACGTCATTACCGTGTATGCTGAACGTGTGAGCTCATTTGTGTTGAAGAAACATGCACTGCAGCAGGTTGTACCTCCTACTCCGGGAAGCCTTTCCTGACTTCCTCCCTCCTGCATAGCCTTTCAGCTTTCTGTTCAGATCTGTTTCTTTCCTACCAGACCAGAGAGAAAGGAGTCTGGGAAATCTGATTTTGCAGTTGGGCGCTACACGCTGTTGACAAAGGTGATGTTTTTTCCAGCCTTCTGAGTGCCTGGTCTGTTGCAGTAGATCTGAAACACAGATGCACTGCACTTTCTAAAATGGAAAAGTAATTTCCCTTGTTAATACCTGACTGACTCTGCTGCCTATAGTAGATGTTCCTAAACTGGCGTGGACTCCTGGGTCTCTAGGAACTCAGGAGCCTTCTAAAATTGTATGCAACACTTCTAATTTGTTTATTTTTTAATAGAGGGGAGTTTGTGATCAGACTCTCAAAAGGGTCCCCCCCAAAGAAATCACTGGCCTACAGGCTGAAGTCTACCCAGCTCCGTGTAATTTCTCTGCTCTCTTGACTTAGGCTGAGCTGTTTCCTCAGCCTGTAATTCCCTGACTCCCATTACTGTGTTGCACAGTCCATGCCCTTAGGAAAGCTTCCTTGATCCCGGGAGCCAGTTCCCTGTGGGCTCCGTGGGCTCCTTCAGCAGCGTCTGTCACGTGAGCTGTAGCTCCCCATCCTTTACGGACGGTTTCTCACTTGACAGTGGGCGTGCCAGGGCCTTCTTCCCAGGCTTACGGTGGCGTTGTGAGGCAGTACACAGATGGCGGCAAATGGCGGCAGTCCCTGCTCGCTTGGGTCTTCCCCTTGCCTTTCTCGCTGAGAGTGTGAGCTCCCGTGTGGTGCGGTCCACGCGTGCGTTTTGCTATGATGATTTTGGGTTAGAGTTCAGAAGGACCCGAGAAGGGTCAGGTCACTCTTCAGCCATAAAACAGAGCAGAAGGGAAATAATTTTTCAAGCTAGTAGATTACGGCGTTTCGGAAGAGCCGTGTGTAAAATGTCTCTGTGTAAAACGTAGTCGGAGCTGCTCTCTTCAGATCCTCAGCAAGTGCTGCCCGGGGGCGGCTGACGGCAGCCGCCGCAGCCCAGCGTCGCCAGCTTTTCTGTCGTCTCGGGAAGATTTTGAGGACCCGGTGAGAAAGCTATATAACCTGTGCTTAGAGGCCATGCTGTCAAAAACACCTCTAAATGGGGAATTCCCTGGCGGGCCAGCGGTAGGCCTCGAAGATCCCGCAAGCCTCACGGCGCGGCCCCAAATCCCACCACCTTTAAGTGCTGGAATCGCACCCCGCGCAGCGCGCGGTGCTTGAGCTGGAAAGGGTCTGTCCCCGTCCGCCTTCGTTGCGTGGCGGCTGCAGGACGCTCAGCTCGCGGGGAGGATGGCGCAGCGGGCCCTGGCCCTTTGCAAGGAGAGCGGGTGGGGACGTCGGAGCCAGCCGTTTGTGTGCGTGAGCTTGAGCGCGCTAGATAGGAGCGCGGCGCGAGTCTGCAGTGTTTCCCCTGCTTGGAGAGGAGGAGAGACAAGAGGGGCCCCGGCAGTGGGGCAGGCCCTGGGGGCGCGGCCGCTCTGTCCGGCTGCGGTCCGGCTGCAGTCCGGCTGCTCGCCTTCTCGCCAGTCAGGAGCGGACCGAGTGGGCTGTCAGAACTCTGGTTTTTGGCCATATGGGTGTTTTCGTTTCTCGCTTTCCCTCCCGCCTGATTTATCAATTCAGAAATTAATTGATACATGAATTTACTTATTAGCGCATTGAATAAAGCTTAAATTGTGTATTGAATAGTACTATTGAAATTCTTATTTTATCAAGTTGCACTTATGTTTCCGTTCAAAGATGCTGAGTTTGACTTGTTAGAAGTTCATTGTACCTACGTGTGTATAACGTATGTTCTAAGGCTTAAACTATTAAAGTTGTTAACAAAATTTGTGGTCTCATTTATCATGACAGGGTTTACCAAACACAACAATCTTAATATGTATATTTACATATATGTATATATATTTATTTCTATACACACATTTTAAACATGTTCCATTTTGTATCCTGTGTTTAGGTAATCTATTCTTCTTTATGTTAACCTTTTGAATTTATGTGGTGCATTTAGGAATTGATAGTGGATGTTTAAGTTTAGGAACTTTAAATCCAGTATCTCGTGTTTATTTACCTAGGCTTTCCACACTCTGAAGAAGGCCACGTGGCTCAGTGATGGAGGGGCGTGGTCTCTGGAGTCGGGAAGGCCGGGGGCCACGCCCCAGCCGCGCCCCCTTCCAGAGCAGCCTCTCCACCATGGCAGCCACTGGCCACGTGGGGCTCTTCAGCACTTGGAGTGTGGCCAGTGTGACTGAATTTTTAATTGTATTTAATTTTAATTAATTTAGGTCTGGGTAGCCATGTGTGACTGTGGCTGCCATACTGGGCCTCACAGTATGAGGTGATTTAACTTAGTTCTGTGTCCCAGGTTTCCTGTCTGTACAGAGGAGATCAAACTTAAGCTGCCTTTTGTGGTGGTTATAAGAATAAATAAAACAATATATTTAAAGAGCTTAACTCTGTGCCTGGAACAGAATATGTCCTTGAGAAATGGTAGTTAGTTATAATGACTATTATATATTTAATAAGCTGGAATTACTTTCCTTTTGAGCATTCATTTAAACCTGTTTATTTTTATTCTTCCCTTTCAGGATTAATTTATTTTTGGAAATCAAGTGCAATATTAAAGGAAAACAAACCACACTACATTATTGGAAGCCATTTCTGCTAATTTTATTACATTTTACAGTTTATGGTTTGATTTGAATTCTATCATGGGAGGCGCTGTGAGTGCTGGGGAAGATAATGATGACTTAATTGATAACTTAAAAGAAGCTCAGTATATCCGCACTGAAAGAGTGGAGCAAGCCTTCAGAGCGATTGATCGCGGAGATTACTATTTGGAAGGCTACCGAGACAATGCTTACAAAGACTTAGCCTGGAAGCATGGCAACATACACTTGTCAGCACCTTGCATTTATTCAGAAGTTATGGAAGCGTTGAAACTTCAACCAGGATTGTCTTTTCTTAACCTGGGAAGTGGAACCGGATATTTAAGTACAATGGTGGGCTTAATTTTAGGTAATTTAATTTTTGTAAAATTCTATTTTAAAAAGTAAGCTGAGTTTGTATTACTGTTTATGATTTATAGGGTTTGTAACTTTGTGTACAATGTATGTTTGAATGTATATTCTAAAAGTAGTTACCTTCCGTAAGTGTGGAAACACAAGGTCATAGTAGTAATCTTGCCTTATTTTCAGCCCTGACCCTGATAGTTAGCTTTGCGTTCAGTCCTAGACTTAAAAAGTTCTTGGAACTGTTTTTGAACCCCCAGCCATTGTCTGTACTTAGAATTGAACAGTTGGAAGGTGGGAAACTCAGGAGTATCATGTAATCTACTTCAGGTAAAGTGTCCTGACAGCTGGCATCCTGACAGCTGGCATAGAGAGTTTGATGGCTATCAGTCAGTGCCCCATGGTGAAGGGGATGGTGCTGTGCTCTTGTTAGGGTGCAGGAGTCTGTGGGGTATGGAGGGTGTGGCACTGTGGGGCAAAGCACAGGACCGGGGAGAGAAGTGTGTATGTCATTAAGTTTCAGCCATCTCGTTGAATGTCTCTCTGCTAGGCCTTATTTCTGGAGCGAGTATACAGCAGTGATCAAAAGGGACAAATGTCTCTGCCTTCAAGAAGCTTATTGGGTGCTTACTATGAGGGCTAGGCATTGCTGAAAGCACTTGACATACAGTAACTCATTTAATGCTCCCAGTAACCCTGTGAAGTATGTATTGTCATGATTCCTGCGTATGTCGGTGAGTAAACCGAGGCACAGAGGTTCAGTAACTCGCCTAGAGTCACGTAGCTAGGAAATGACAGCTGGGGGATTGAGGAGGCGGGTGGACAAAGCATGCACGCAGGAGCGTCTGCTCTGAGACATTGTGATGTTGGATGGAGGATGAACAATCATGAGTGTCACTGAGCCGCTTAGTATTTACCGAGAACTGCTGTGTGACAAGCATTAAGGTAGAGCATCAGGCCCATAACACGGACTCTTGCCCTTGAGTTTGCAGACTGGCAGGAGTGGAGAGACAGGAAGATGCACGGTTCTCATCCCGTGTGCTGTGTGCCGTGGTTGGGTGTGTGCCCACGTTACAGGGATGAGACTGGTTTACAGAGTATACTCTACAGTGATGGGGATCATGGAAGGATTTTAAATAGAGAAAAGGCTGTACTCTAGGAGGTCCTGGTGCGCTGAGGCAGTCCTGGTTTTTCCTGGTTATCCTAGCATCAATATTAGTGATGTCCTTTTCTTTCCCAAAGTGTCCCAGTCTGCACGGTAAATTATGTGTTCACATCGTACGACTTCAGGCATTTTCAGGCCTGAAGTCCCCCTTCCTAAACACTGACTAGCTCCGTACTTGCTCTCCTAGTCGTGGGACCTGCAGTCATTTCACTTTAAAAAAAAAAAAAAAAGCCCTTTCATCCCACAGCTGAGTCAGTTCCCGATACATAATAACTGGTCAAAAACGGTAACATTATTAATTTCTGCCAAGAAAGAAATTTAGCAGCTTACATTTAAATTTGGTGCTCTGCTGATCCTGAGATAGCAATTTTTCATCAGGTTGGGAATCCCAGAAACCTAGCACTTGTGTCATTAGAGCCTCTTTGAAAATGGAATCTCTAGGGTTTGAGACGGTCTCCAAATCAAAGGAACTTAGTGGAGGGGGAGTAGGGAGAGCTGCTTTTCCAAAGTGGGAGCTGCCTTCCTTGAGCCCGTGCATTTCTTGACTAGCTGTGGCTGCTTAAGACTCAAGTCCAGGCCTCACTCCACGTCCAAGCACCTGTTGTTCTGCCTTTCACTGTTCTAGCCGGCCAGCTGGCTCCTGCTGAGGGAGGGCAGTTTAGCCAAAGGCCTGGTGGGGGGAGAGCACGGGTCCTAACCAGCTGCCTGACCAGCAGTGAGGTCACCCTCCTAAACTCCATTCCTTAGTACTTGTCTCCAAGAAATTAGATGACTGGGGCCAGATGCATTTGTAGGCCGACTGCAAACGTCATCATATCTTGAATGCTTTCTCCTCTATACCCGCGGGCATTGTGGGGAAACAGACCCTGGTTTAGGTGACCCACAGTGATGCCGCTTCCTCCTGTTAGCAGGCTCCAGGAGGTCGCGAGTCTTCAGTCACATGTGTGACCGCGCTGACTGGACAGTATTCCAGCGTTTGTCTGTGTGTGGTCCTGCAGTCAAGACCAAGATAGAATACCTCTCCTTTTGCTGGTAAATAATTCATTTCATGAGAAAGATAAAGACATTTTAAAAAAGGAAAGGCAGAGAGAGCGGAGTCTGTAAGACTGTGATTACAGTTAATAAACCTTGGATCTCTCCAGCTTCTGAGGAAGCTAATCTTTTTTCCTCCTGCTCCCCTTTTTTGGTTTGTGTTTCTCGAGCATTTAATTAAAGTCAAGGAGGGGGATACATCCGTAAAAATCACTTAGAACCAGCTCCACAGGGGGCTGCTTCCGTGTTGCCTGTAATAATCTGAGAGCCGTGCGTCGGGCTTGGCCCAGTGCTTCGCAGTGGCCGTAGCAGCAGAAGCTGTCTCCTTGCTGCACTGCTCTAGCACCCTGGCCCTCAGCCCTGCTCTCCAGTCCCGAGACGGGCGGCACGTGCTCCCTGTGGGCAGCACTCCTCGCCCGAGGACACGCTCCGTGTGATCCGGAGGCTCTGGGCCGCACCGGGAGGGCAGCGCCCCTTGAGGGATCTCCCCTGGAGAGGGTGGGCTGCAGTCCTGAGAGCTCTCGTTCAGTGAGAGCTTAGGGTGATCCTGGCTGCAGGAAGTGTCTTGTGATTCCACCACATTTGGAGCAGCTACTCATAAATGGAATTTAGTTTTGCCGCGCACTGAGAAAATGGACTGCTCCAGGTTCTAAATCATGCCTCCTTCTGGACAACTTGTTTCGTTCCCAGTTGAAGATAAATTCTTGTTCCGCTCTCTTCTCCTTAGGAGTCTTCCTGGAGCAAAGGGTTTCCACACAGAATCTAGTCCTTAATTGACCCTCCTTTCAGTGCTGTCTTCTCCAGGGAAGCGCATTGAATGGGGTGCGGGAAAGAGGTCTCTCGTGTCCTCATTAAATATCAGAACCACGCAGGCACGTTACTCTGATCATCTTTCTGGTTCAGGTGGGGACGCTTCGTCTCCATTCTGGTCCTTTGTGCTGAGGGATTCACCCCTTATGTAACCCATAATATCAAACTTAGGTGTTGCTTATAAAACCTGTAACCTCGGGCTGAATGACTTTCTCAGCCTCTTGCCTAGGTCCTGAGTTAGCAGACGTGACTGTGGAGAGACTGCCAGAATCACCCAGCACTGCGTACACCGCTGCCTCAACTCTGCAGCGTTAGTTCCTACAGGTCACACGGTGGGCAGGCTTGCGTGTCTGATGGGAAGAGCACTGCCAGTGTACCTAAATGCCCTCACCTCCCAGGGGGCTGGTCAAGCTGCGCGTGGCCGTCATGTTTGGTCTCTGTGCTCTTTCTCTTTACCACAGGACATTACGTGGTACTTACTTATTCAGCTACACTGACATTGCCTTTGACCTCAGACATTCATGTTTTCTCTCTCACTTTAGCCCTCTTCCTCACTTGGATGAAGTTCTAATTTACATGCCATAAAGTTCACCCATTTTAACTGTACATGTCAGGGAGTTTAAGTCTGTTAGCAGAGTTGTACAAACATGACCATAATCCAATTTGAGAGCACTTCCATCACCCATAAAGATCCCCTACCCCAGCCCCTGGCAGCCACTTAGCTACTTTCTGTCTCTGTAGATTTGCCTTTTCTGTACCTTTCATGTCAGTGGAGTCATGCAGTCTGTGATCTTGTGTGTATGGTTTCTGTCCTTTAGCGTTACATTTTCAGGGTTCATCTGTGCTGTAGCGTGTATCAGTGGTCCATTCCTTCTGGTGGCTGAGTAATCCTCCGTTGTGTGGGTGTACCACATTTTGTTTGTCCTTTCACCAGTTAATGCTGATTTTGAATGATGCTGATGTGAACATTCATGTACAAATCTTGTTGGAGACGGCCAGTTTCATTTCTCTTGGGTGGATTCCTAGGAGTGAAATTGCTGGGCTGTATGGTGAGTTTATGTTTAACTTTTTAAGAACTTGCCGAAGTGTTTTCTGGAGTGGCTTGCACCATTTTATATTCCCACCAACAATACACGAGGTTCTAGTTTCTCCATAGCCGCACTGATGGTTTTTTTTTTTTTTCTTTTATAGCCATCTTAGTGGGCATAAAGTGGTATCTTGTGGTTTTAGCTTGCACTTCCCTGATGCCTAATGATGTGGAGTATCTGTTCCTGTGCTTTTTGGTTATTCCTCTATTTTCTTTGGTGAAATGTCTGTTCAGATCTTTTCTCCATTTTTAAATTAATTTGTTGGTGTACTTATTATTGAGTTGTAAGTGTTCTTTATATATTTTAGGTACAAGCCCTTTAGCAGAAATATGATTTTCAAATAATCGTTTCACATCTTTTTAAGCACCCCTTTTAGAAAACCCCCATGGCTCACTTCAGGCCTGAGAATGAGGGAGATCCAGAGTGGTCTTCTGCCTCACCTCCCCCATCTTTTTTGGTGAGACAAAACCCATTTTGTAGGTTTCCAGGGTTCTCTCTAAGGTAGATTCTCTTCTCTTCTTCTCTGCATTAAGCCAAACCTCAGTTTTCCCTCTATATTTCTACCCTACTTCTTCTTTTTAAGGAGATTATTATTTTTTTTTTCTTTTTAAGAATTACAAAGACTGTTCTTGGTATGGGCTTTATTTTGGGCTCTGAGCAAATCTGTTTTGAAAAGAACCCTTGCGTCTAGGCCACTACCATTTTCTGAGACCAGTTAAGCTCCTTTACACCGTTACTTCTTAGCCCTGGTTGGGCTCCCGTGCATCTTTTTTCTGCCCATATGCCCTGCATTGAGTTGCTACCATTATTGTGTTTCTTGGGGCTTTCCCCTCACTTCTGGTTGTGGAGCGGAAGTCATTACTGACAGCCGGCTCCTTCATTGCTGCTCCTGTGGAAGTCCCCAGATGATGG